CGGTGGTATATGTATGTGGTGTAGTGTGGTGTGTATGTGGTGGTATAGTGTGGTATGTGTATGTGGTGTGGCGTGCATATGTGATGTGGTGTGGTGTGTGTATGTGGTGTATATATTCTATTTGAATGGAGTAGAGGGTGTGGGTGGTATAGAATGGGTGTGGTGAGGGAATGGAGCATGTTTAGTGTATGTATAAGGAGTGTGGCACAAAGGATATAGGAGTGAGAATACGAAGTATAAGTGTGTTATGCATGTATAGTATGGCAGGGTGTGGGATGTATGTATATGTGTATATTCTCTCTCTCTCTCTCTCTCTCTCTCTCTCTCTCTCTCTCTCTCCATATATATATATTTTTTTTTTCCTGAGGTGGGGGATGTGTTGGGTAAGGGTCAGGCCTAAAAGCAGTCTTCCAGCCTCACTGGCTTACTGGTGGCTGGACCAAATCTGCTCCACAACTGCTTGGGAAACAACAAACAAAGGGCTCCTTTACTGGGGCTCCCATGGACAGAATCAGATGTCCCAACAAACCCATAAATTGGATGTGTCACCTCTCAGGCCCTGTGTCCAAAAGTTCCCCAACTCAAATCCGCCATTCCTCACCCCCTGGGATCAGAGTCCTTATGAACTGAATATTCCTGGTGCCCTGAATCCAAACAACTCTGAAGCCTCGCTTGCCTTCCCAGTGCACTCTGCCTCCTCCACCCACATAGCTGAGGTCACCCTGGCCCAGCCTCTTTTGCAACTTTCCCAAGTCTGTGCACAGAAAGAAAGGAGGAAAACTCAGAGGGAAGTAGCCTCTCACCAAAACCGTTTACGTTCTCAATACTGGCCAGACTGAAACTGCCACTTGGAGAAAAGAGGCCCAGACCCAGAACTCCCACCTGTGCGAGGTGAGTGCTGAAAGCCATGGCTGTAAGTAGCCGGCAGCCTTGCATGTGTCCTTGCATGTGCCCATCGGTGCCGGAACTGTTTGGGTGCTGGTGAAGAAGAGTAAAACTTGGGTGCAGAAACGAGGCTAAGAATCTGGCTGGCACAGAGTTTTAATCCTGCCCAAAGACCCCTGCACTGCAGGAAGTTCCTGGGTGTGGTGGAGAAAGGACTTCCCTGTCAATCACAGGGAGCTGGGGCCCAGCTTGGGAACCCGCAAAGGCAGCAATACCAGACAGGACAGCAGCTCAAAGGAGGCTGTCATTATGCCTCTAGACCTGCAGGGCCTGGGAGAAATGAGAGCCTTCCAAGAGGGATAGGTCCTAATGCATCTGCTGGCTCCTTGGTACATGGACAGGGCGCCGTCTGGGATGAAAATTTGGAAGCTATCAGAGAAAGATGAGCTCTTAAAATAAGAAAAGATTCCTCTTGTTCTAATCCATAAGAATTTCTCCTGACGAAGAGCTACAGTGTAGGAACTGATGAACAGAATTGGGCAGATCTGGGTTCTACTCTAAGCTGGCTACTAACCTAGTTTGTTGTTGTTCGGGGTGTGTGTGTGTGGGGGTGTTGTGTTATGTTTTGTGTGAATACTTACCACAGCATATTTGTGGAGGTCAGAGGACAGCTTTGTTGGGTCAGTTTTCTCCTTCTATCCTTACACAGGTTCTGGCAAGTACCTTTACTTGCTGAGCCACCTTGCCAGCCCACCAACTAGTTTTGACTAGAATCCATTGGGCTATAATAGCATTTTGTAAAATGCAAGTGTTCTATAATAGCTAGGCATTGCATATTGATAAAAATAATTGCTTTGGGCTTATAGATCAGTCCCCCACTACAAAGATTTTATGGAGATAGTAGTTTGTGAGTATCCTTAGACACATACTGTGTGTGCTTCTGCATAGCAGGTGTGCACTACATGGGTGTGTGGATAGACAGATGCCTGGGTGGATGAATGAATGGATACATACATAGAAAGGACACGTCACTCTTCAGGGAAGCTCCTCTGTCTGCAGCATCAGTCACCATGCTTTGGGGACAGGTGCACAGCGAGATAAGAGGCACTGTCTAGGGTACAGGTACTCTACTTGGAGAAGCAGAACAAACATCACCGCAAATAGCTTAAAGAACGAGAACAAGGAGCCTTCTGAAACCAGCGCTGTGGGTGTGCTTTACAGAGGAAGCAGGTCTAGACCTGCAAGGGTTGGGGTGGGTGCTGCCGACTGTCAAGTGATCCTGGCAGGCAGCGAAGCCTCCTGTGCCCCAAGAATCTCATTAAGCAGAAAACCTTACACTCAGCCTGTGCATCCACTGTTTGTTAGAATGAATATGGGGTGCAAAGGGGAGGAGAGAAACTGTGGAGTAAGACAAGAAGCTGGGAAAGAGTATATACTGGGCAGAGAAACGGCGTGCTGCAGAATTCTCAGCTGCCCCTGTTCACTGGTCTCCCTGACAACTTACCTAGGACCTCATCCAGGACAAGTAAGGCAAGAGACTATGTGGGATCCTGGCTGGAGTCAGTGGGAGAGGGACGTGGGAAGGTGAAGGCTGAGATTCTCAAGAGTTCTTGTAGACTAGCCACAGGCCCGAGAGCTCTGAGGCAACAGTCTTCCTTGCTTTTGTAGAGAAGCTATGGGTGGGGCCCAGCTCTGGTTTAGAAGTGCTGTGGGACAGGAGCTAGAGAAGAGGTGGCCCTGTCTGGAGTCCTGCTCTGTGTGGGCTGGGCTGGCTGGGCAGGTCCAGCATTCCAAGCCTGCTACTCACTGTTAAGTAACAGTGAAGATGACTCAGCCTTGCTGATAGGAAGATGCCTTGCTTCCCTCTTTGAAGCTCTGAGTCAGCCAGTGAAAAGAGGCCCAAAAGGGCATTGTAGCTACACCCAGCCAGGGGTAGACAACATGGGAGGGGACCTCAACTACTATCTGAAACCTGGGAGTAGTAGTCAGGAGAGCCCCGCTGCTGACTGCTCCCAAACAGACTCCTTCATTCCTGGCACCAGGCCAGCCCAGATCACTCTCTGAACCAAAGATCAAGGCTAATTTTAGATGTCAGACTCATCAAATGTTTGCCCTTTTGGGATCAGGGTATAGGAGTCTTTGGTGGCTGCACACTTCTAGGACACATCTGGAAAGGGCATCAGGACAGCAGAAGGGATAGAGAAGTTACTAGGATCAGAAGAGGCAAATAAAACCCAAAGGAAAGACTTCAACCCCACCCCTCACAACACTCCCTCTCCTAGCACCTGGTGTTGTAGAGGAATTGAGCATATTTTGTGGGTGGCCCCTAGGAGAAACCTGCCCCCCTGGTGAAAGGAACAAGCACCCAGGGCATGTTTGGCTGTTTCCCATGAGCCCAGTGCTTAGATCAGGTGACACTGAAGTCCTTCTGGTACCATGCATGCTCAACATTTGTAGCTTGAAATCCGCCCTAGTGGACATGTTAACATCATCAAAAATGGCAACCACTGCAAATCGGATCTCAGGACCTTCTCTACCAATCCCCACCCCACAAAGGTGTTAAACTGTTATCTGGATCTTTCTCAACGTTGAGACCTTGTTATGCCACATTGAGACCTTGTTATGCCACTGTAATATGACACATATGTATCATCTGCAGAGGAAGCCACAGTCATAACTGATGCCTGTTTTATCCAAGAGGTATCAGAGTGTTCAAAAGTAGTAATACTCACAGCTCAAGGTCACAGATGGGTAGATTAGGGAAGAGAAAGGGCTCTTTGACCCCAAAAGTCACAGTCATTGCCTGGCATGAGGCAGCCTCTCCCCCTCCTCCCCAGTCACGGTGATTCATCCAAATAGGAAATCATATTCAGATGACTCTGGGCAGCCATGCAGTCACATATGCTTTGTAAAGAGAGGTTGAATCAGGGTACGCCCGGGGGGAGGGAGGGAGGGAGGGAGGGAAAGGGAGAGGGAGAGAGAGGGACTTTTTGATATTTTGCAGAAACAATTTAAGATTGCAGAATAAATTTTTAAAATATATACACTTAAGATGCAATGGACACTCCTAGCTTCTCTCCTGCCTTTCCTCATCTTCTTAGATGGTATGTTCTGTGCGTTTCTAGGATACACATATGTAGGATTAAGCTCGGAGACATACTGAGTGATCTGATGCTTGGGATCAATCACACCCTGTCAGATGCTTAGATTTGGGGGGGGGTAACTTAAATTATCAGTGCATGTCTGTACACCATCACCTCGTCCTTTTTAAATGGCCTTGTACTTCAGAATATCTATGGATTGGTTGGCATTTGTGTAGAAAGTCTGGCATTAAAAGAGCCTATGCATTTGAGAGGGAGTGTGAACATGGGAAGGGTTGGAAGGAAGACACGGGGGAAGGGAGAAGTGGTATAAATACAGTGCACATATATGAAATTTTTAACTAATTTAATTTTTAAAAAAGAAAGTATGTTATTGGTGGAGATTCAGGTAGAGCAAATATGTGCTGATGGGGCCTCAAAGGGTCAAGCTATGTTAGCCTCATTCATCTCCACTTAATGGCATAGTCTTTTGGCACAGCAGCACACTTTTACAGTCCTAGATATCTGGGCATCTGAGGCAGGGGATTGCTGGTTTGAGACCAGCCCGGGGAATGGCATGAGACTCCACCTCAAAAAGGTGTGAAAGTGCAGCTCTGACAGAGTATTTGTCTAGCAGGCTCCAGGCTTCAATAATTTTTCTATGATTATAAAACAAACTGCCTAGTGTATTGGTAACCTGGTTGCACTCGTTATTTGTCTCATGGCTGTGACAACATGCTGATAAGGACATTTAAGGAAATAGGGGCTCATTTAGACTCACAGTTGAGAGAGCAATCCATCGTGAATGGGAAAAGCATGGTAGCAGGAGCAAGGGACAGCTGCTTATACTGCGCCTGCAGCCAGGAAGCAGAGAGGAACATCCCGTGCTCGGTTTGCATTCTAGTTATTCAGCCTGGGATCCTAGACCATGGGATGGTGTGTCCACGTTTAGGGTATATTTTTGCACCTCAATTACCTCAGTCTAGAAACTCACTCCTAGATGTCCACAGAAGTTTGTTTCCAAGGTGATGCTGGATCCTGTCAAACTGGCGATCAGTATCAACCATCAATGCAGTCTATAGAGCTAGACCTGAGTCTAAATCTCGGCTCCAACCCAGGCTCTCCCACTACAGGCTGTGTGTTGTTAGGAACTCCTAAATTAGCTCCTGCAAACCTCTAGTTCTTAGTAAAACAGAGACAATAATAGTGCCAACCCTATAAATATTTTGTGTGCACTAAAATAACTAACATTCTAAAACCTTAATGCTCTTAAGAAACCTCAATTTGTGCCAGTAAATATATCAAAACAATGCATCAGGTACAATAGCACACGAATTCAGTTAATGCACAAAATGTGCTATTATTTATTTGCACATCTTCAAAGCTCTCGGCAAAGTGTCCAACCAGTAAATGTCAGCATGATCCATTCCCTCTACCTCCACATGATGTGTCTACTGAGGGCAGGTCCTCACACACAGCTCCTGTTCAGCAACCCCAGGTCCCTTACTCTAATAGAACCTCTTCATCCCTCTGACTGCCTTTTCCCAGTCCACCTAAGGCTTTGTGGAACACACCAAATCTGAGCTCAGTGCCCTACATGTTCATGTACACAGATACCAAGGCTCCAAATTCTGGCGATCAGAGGGCACCAGGACACAGAAGAGCTTTCGCTGCCTTCCATCCTGGCACTAGCTTATCCATTTACTACACTGTGGTGTTGTGTAAGTTATGAGTGACTCCCCCCTGTCCCCCAACAAACACACACACACACACACACACACACACACACACACACACACATACATTTTGATGGTAAGGATGGAAGCCTTGTTCAAGTTAGGCCAGCCCTGTAGTCATGTGATGATGTGGTGGTCTTTTAAATTAAGTTGACACACTGTATCAAAGTGTTAGGAAACAGTGTTTCTTTACTCTCAGGGCCCTTCCAAAGAGATAAGTGATGCCCAGAGACCCACTCCTTCCAGAGACTTCTCAGCCACTTCTTGGTTGCTTGCCTTTGTGAGCAGCAACATTGTTGCGGTATACCAGCCCAGGTCAGTATCTTTAGTTCCCTGCCTCCACATTCCTGGGAGATGGAGAACTTTTGCTAAGTAGCTAAAAGAATGATGGATGGATGGATGGATGGATGGATGGATGGATGGATGGATGGAT